AAACACAAATGAAATCTTTCTTGTTTTCATTCTTCTTTGGAGGCATCTCCTGAGAAAAACTAACTTTATCTTTAGTCTAATATATATTATTTTATTCTTGTCACAAACTGAACTAGATAGCATTTCATAAAATAAGACTTCCATTTGTCTAAATACGGGCAGTTTCTTTTTATTTTGTGGGATTTTTCTTAATCTTCACGTTACACATATATAGTTGTTTCGTGGACATTCTTCTATCTGATCTGTGTAGAAAAGAGCCCTAAGTTCTCTATATGATGACTTTATTTAGGAAGCATTTTAAGAATCAGATTTTTTTTAAAGTTTTTATTTTATGTGTATGAATATTATGCTTGGATTTATGTAAGTGCAGCCATGTTCTGCAGTACCCACAGAGGGCAGAAGTGGGCATCAGATCCCCTGAATTGGAGTTACTAGTAGTTGTCAGCACCATGTGGGTACTAGGAACCAAACCCAGGTTCTCTCCAAGAGCAGCCAGTGCTCTTAACCACTGAGTCACTGCTCCAGCCCCAAGAATCACATATATTTTTAAGTGACTTTCTTGAATGAAAATGGTTTCTTAGGTTCTGAAAAAACTGTGATATTTCTTTGGACTGTGTTCATTCCTTATTAAGTCCATTTCCACAGTTCAACTCTGCCTTCGAATACTGAACACAGGTCATGACCCTATGCTCCCCCCAGTGCTTTGTGCTGATTACTGAAGAATCTGTCTTGTAATTAGGAAGTTATAGTTATACAAGTCAATTGTTGTATAACAAAAATAAGATAACTTTGTGAGTTAGAAAGACCCTGAAAATGAGGCAACACTCAGGTATGAATGAATTCTCCCTTTTTAGTTTCTTAGATACTACTGTACTATCTTTTCAACGTGTGTTTTTGTTGGGGTAGGGAAAGTTAGATCCAAAGAGCATCTTTCCTTTGCAATCTAATGCTATGCCTCTTAGGTGCTGACTTGCTTGTTACTGTGGGTACTGGCTAGCATAACTCAAGGGGTTTTGTTCTGATCTGCACTGATCCTGCTGTCTGGTGCTAAATAGAACCCCAGAGATAGGAATTGGTGTCTCTTGGGTCATCTGCACGCATGCTGGGCTGACTTGGTTATCTTAAATTCAAAAGGTTTTCTGTGAGGTAACAGGGTTATGATATCCAAGTAGGTGATGTGGCCGTAATCACACTAATAACATAGTCTAGAAGTAGAAATTTGGAACTGAATGCCCTGTTCCACGATAACACCACGGGAGCTTCCACTGCTATAATCCAAGTTTTGTTTTTCAGCTGACAACACTTAGAAGTGTAAGCCCTTCTCTTGCTTTTCTCTGGTATTGTAGTTCTGCCATGCTGTGTCTTTGTGTTGACTATAGTGATCTTTTCATTTTGGGGAGGATAGGTTTTGTTTTTGAGGCAAGGTCTCACTCTGTAGCCCATCCATCTGGCCCAGAACTTGCAGCAGTCTTCTGATTTCAGCCCCCCAAAGTGCTGGGATCACAGGTATATGCTTCCAGGCCCTAGGAAATCTTCAAGTCAGAAGTGAGCCCAAGAATTTTAGGAACTAGTTAACAGGAAGTTTCCACTATGCCCCAGGTATGGTTTGTTCTATGTGCTGTATTAATGACTGCTCTCAACATATTCTGTATGATACTGTTATCATTTCCATTTTACAACGATAAAACAAGAGGCAACAAGGTCGAGGCTCTTGCCCCAAGGTCAGACCCTAGTAACAGCACTGTGATCCGTGTCTGCTGTGTCCTTTTCTTAAAAAAAATTTATTTTTATTTTGTGTATGAGTGTATTGCCTGCAATTATGTAAATGCACCCATATTGTGCAGTGCCTGTGTAGGTCAGAAGAGGGCATCAGATTTCCTGGAACTAGAGTTATGGATGGCTGTTAGCCACCGTGTGAGTCCTAGGAATTGAACCCAGTTCCTCTGCAAGCACAGCCAGTGCTTTTACTCACCCAACCATCTCTTCAGCTCCTCTACTGTGTTCTTTACTGTTGGGCTATGGCTTTGAGCAACATTGAGATCCATGTCCAGGCCTGGTACTAGAGCCTGTGCCATTTACCATTGGTGTATGGCTTCTATCAGCATGTGACAGTACAGGCAGGGGTGAATCTCAGCTCAGCTTACCTACTGTTAAACATGCTTACTGGGTTCCTTCTTTGTATATGTAATCTCTAGATTATAGTCAGAACCTCAAATCTTCTCTAAAATTTAGACTCCTGACTTTTTCTCTAGGGGAAACATTCCCTCAAGTAGTTAATGAAGTTCCTAAATTTACATCTTCCTTCTGATTTCCTTTTTATTAAGATTTTCTTTCTTTATTTCTGCCATCCTAGGTCACATCATCGCTTGTCACTGGATCAAATTTTGAGTCAATACAGGGTAGGGATGTAGCTCAATGGTAGAGTGCATGCTTAGTATACATGATACCTTTGGTTCTATTTCCAAAACCAAAACCAATTCTGATTCATTACAAAAAGTAGTGTTTGTATATGGGGCCATAAATTATGGAAAGGCTCAGAGAAGACTCATCAGAATCTTGTACATTGATCAGACCAGTGACTGGATGAAATACTTTATTCACAAGTATGATGGGTCAGTTTTCAGATTTGGCACTTTTATTTCAAGCACACTGAAGAATTTCAAGATCTTCAGCTTGGATTACTGGGATTGAAGTTTACCATGATCTTAATCTTATGCTGATACCTGAGTAACTTCCAAGTAACTTCCAACTAAGACAGAATTTCCCAAACAGCCAGAACACGTGCCGAGTTAACTTGCAGGTAGATAGATGGTTCACTTCTTTCTCCTCTGCTTTTGCAGAAGTGCCACAGGCCCCAACTACCTCTTTAAAAGTTACATTCCAATGGCTTGTTTCTGTGATTGACTATTTTCCTTTTAACTTAGCAGTGGAGTGATTTTACTGAAATTACCACAGAGAAAATGTGGCTGCATTATTTTAAGGGACAATGCTGACTTAAGAGCTAATAGTTAAAGGAGAAATGGAGGGGTTTTTTTTTTTTGTTTTTTGTTTTTGAGACAAAGTCTCACTGTGTAATCCTACCTGACTTGGAGCTTGCTATGTAGACCAGGCTGGCACTGAACTCACAAAGATCTGCCTTCCTCCATCTCCAAGTGATAGGATTAAAGGCATGCACCACCATGCCCAGCAAGATTCCTTTCTTTATACATGTTCCTTAGTATGACAAATTTATGGAAGTAGCACCCAGGAATAAAAAGCTCTTTTCATGGCATTAAATTTAGAACCTAAACAAAGTCAGGCAGGTACAGCGATGCATACCTGAATTCTTAACACCTGGGAGAGCAAGGTAGGATTGCTCATTCAAGATCAGCTTTGGTTACGTAGCAAGACCATCTCAAAATCCAAAATGTAAAACTGAAAGTTACTGGCTTTCTTTAATCATTTGACTTGGTCTTCTTGATCATTTTAGACTGACACAAAGAGTATGTTTATAGAGGGTCACTTGAGATAGGGAGAGTTCATTTACAGTTTCTAGAAAATTATTGGTGACTTCTGATCTTTCTACTCTTCCCAGGAAGGAATGAAATACTGGCCAGCTTGTGTCCTCAAGTGTTTGGGATGTATCTAGTAAAGCTTGCTGTGGCCATGGTACTGGCTGGTGGAATTCAAAGGACTGATGCTACAGGAACAAGGGTCAGAGGTTAGTACCTATTGGCAAATTTTGAAAAATATTAACACATATAAGGGAAGAAGCTAGATCCTTTCTTGAACAAAAACTGCTTGTTGAGGGGGCTGGGGGCTGAATTAGAACAAAGTATAATGAGGATGTCAATACGCAGCCCAATTGTATGCTAACTTAAAAATTTTAAAAAACTGCTTATTGAGCACTATTTTCTAAATATCATCTTTTAAAGCTGGATTTCTCGTACTTAGTGTATAGCTACATTTATCAGAAACTTTCTCTTAATTCCAAAAAGACTAAAGAAATCATTAAATTTTTCAACAGTTGTATACTTCTGCTGTAGCCTGTAAAGGTGCCACAAAAACAGCAGCTTACATTTTTTTATTGGACCCCATCTCTCTTCAAAAAGATTAGAAATAGTGTTTTAATGTTTCCAAGTTGGTCTCCCCATCTGTAGCTGCCAGTATGCTTCTCAAGACTGCTGTTCTCCATCGTCTGCCTGATGATTTCGCATCTGCTGGTAGAAATATGCCATCTGCCATTGAATCGCTGCTGTAGGTCACATATTTAATCAAAGACTACTCCATGTATGTGATAATGACTGCATGGCAGAAAAGCTTGTGTGCAGCAAACATGCTTAGCTGAGCTGAATGAGACTTACAGGGCCATAATAACCATAGTAAAACCAAAAATCCAAAAGAATGATATCATTAACCAGACTGTTAGCAGGGACTCTAAAACCATATAGTACAGTATAGAATACTAAATATAAGGGGTTTGTGTATTATGTGATTTTATCACCCGTTATTTGCAAGGCACTTTGCTGAATATTTTGAGCTTAAGTAGTGGTTTCTTACTAATATAATTAGGAAATATTTATTCCAAAGAAATTTGTTTGGCCAGTGAAAATATCTACAACAAATACAAAACTGTACCTCCAACTTTAACCCTAAAAGTACCACAAAGTGGAAATTGATTGATACTTGTAATAGCAATAAATGATAATAATTTTAAAAAAAAGAAAATAGACCACAAGACAGGCATATGTCCATTTATGTTACATGTGAAAAAATCAGTACTTAATTATTTTAAGGTAGATATTTCACTAAGCTACTAAAATTTATACAAATTAAAAATGTTTTCATTTAATTACTATAATCTTAAGGATATGATATATATGAAGCACTTATAAAGTCACCATGATTTAAAAGTATTTAAAAGTACTTGAAAATAAAATAAAATGTTGTATGGTTTATATGGATAGCTTTAATCACAGTAGTTTGGAATTTAAAACTAGATAAAAATCAAAGTTTATAAGCCACGGGTTTTTAAAAATGTTAAACGTGGGCCTAAGCATCTGGAAGTAGCATACAACCTATTAATAGAATTTAAATTTTAAATGCCATATTCAGTAATCAAAACTGTTATATTCATGAGTTAACTTTTCTAAAGATTTTCCAGTTAAATCTTTCTTACATAAAGGATGCCAAAAATACTATATAAAATAAATCATGTTACCATTTCATATGGATTTAATTTTATTAAATTTTAATTAAAAATATTTTTATTATTTTTATTTTATGTGTATGTATTGCCTGCATGTAAGTAAGTACACCCGTGTTGTGCAATGCCTGTGAAGGACAGAAGAGGCCATTGGATCCCCTGTAACTGGAGTTATGGACAGTTGTTAGCTGCCATGTGGGTGCTGCGATTTGAACCCGGGTCTTCTGCAAAAACAGTCAGTGTTCTTGACCACTGAGCTGTCTCTCCAGTCCTAATTTAATTTTTGATTAATTACACATCTTAGATCCTTTAAAGCATTTAAGACTTATTTACTTTTTCTAGGTGAATCTCATCTTTTATTGGTTGGGGACCCTGGCACAGGGAAATCTCAATTTCTTAAATATGCAGCAAAGATCACACCAAGATCTGTATTGACCACAGGAATTGGATCTACTAGTGCAGGTACTGTACAAGACAATTTTAGGTAATTTAACATTAATCCAGAAGCTAACACAATTTTTTTTCCTTAGAAAGAGTGCCTACTGTAGTATAAATTTCAAGCTAGTTATTTAATAAGGTTACTGCCAAAAACTGAGTATGTAACATTACTTTTGTAGCTCTAAAAAAATATTTTAAAAGGGCCATGTCTACTGTGTTTGGATCTTAGCTCTATGTAGAAAAATGTATCATGCATCTTATGAAGACTCAGCAAATAGAACATCAAAACAGAGGTAAATTTCACTTTAGAAAGTAAGTAGATAGCACATAACTCATTCTCATAGACAACAGTAGCTCCTAATGAAATTTTGTAGGCAGAGATTTGTGTATTTAGAAAGCACCATACAGGGCTTCCTTAATATATATTCTTCAAGTACATTCAAAAAGTCTTTGTAGAGAAATGCCAAGATTTGGTTATAATGTGGCAGGAAATTTAAGGACAGTTATGTTTTAAAATATGTTTTGATGATATTTTCAATTTTTACAGTTTTGATGTAGTATTTGCCTGTTCTTCTAAAAATAGGCCTTTGGTTTTATGTATTTTACAAATGTTGTTACCTACTGAGAGCCCCACTTCTATGGTCTGTCCTCAAAGTTCTTATGAGAAGTTTATACGTGAATGATCATAACAGAAAATATTCCAATGGCACTATATAAGGACTTGAAGCACGATAGTTAAGTAATGTTAAGAAGGATTTATGAACCGAGCAAACTTCCCAATACCAGACAGGAGGTAGCAGTGTGTGAGGAACACTGCTTGTACTGTTGAAATCCTATAGCCTAGATCTGCAGTTCTATGTGACTCCAGCAACAAAGATGCTGCTTGAGTAACACATGAAATGCTTCCTAACTGTGTGGGGGGTCCAGGACAAGTACACACCGACATGTGGTACTCATCTCCAACTGCTTGGGAAGTATTACAATGAATGGCTGCTGCTCGCAGTATTCATAGTGCATCATGGAATTAGCACCTTTCCCTTTTTAAATGTCAAGATCCTAATCCAAATGTGAGAGAAAAGACTGGTAAAGGAAATATAATTTTACAATTGTGGAAAAAGTATTGCTACTTTTTAACCCACACAAAAGATGACAATGGCCTTTCTTCAGTGTTTTGTAACCCATTAGAAAGTCAATGCTGCACAGAGTAAGGTATAGCAAAGGGTCACTTTATGAAAAATTTCAGTGTAAATATATAGTTGTGCTGCAGAATCATACTTTATTGTCTTATAGCATGGATTGTGTTATGAAACCCCTCCAAAGACTTTCTTTTTAAACATTTTTTAAAATTACTTTTTATCTACTTATTTATTTTGTGTGTGTGTGTGTGTGTGTGTGTGCGTGTGCGTGCGCGCGCATATATAAAGGTCAAAGGACAACTTGTGGAAGTCAGTTTTCTCTTCCCACCATGTGGATCCTGGTGATTGAACTCAGGTCATTAGGCTTAGCAGCAAGTGCGTTTACCGGCTGAGCCCTCTCACTGGCCCCCACAGACTTTCTTAATTAATACTAGACCCTACAACTACAGGGTAAAACAATACTAAACACCTAGGGTTGTGTAAGGTTATGAATGAGCAAATGCATGTATGTATGCTTCCTCAGATTCCTAGAACATTTCCTTAAGTAAAATGACCCTCATGCCCTCCAACTTACCTACCTCTTCAGTGGTATATATATATTTTCTTTTTCTCCAGATAATTATGTATTTACTCTGATCATAAGGGGGAAAGATATCTAAGCCTTTTAGCTATAACTCAGATATAGTGTCTGTAAATGAGGCTAAACAATATTATCAGTAATTGATTTTTATTTTAAAATTTTATAGAGCTGTAACATTTAAAATAAAAGGCAAAGGTATATATGCCCCAAACTTCTGTGAAAATGGGTTATTTACAAACTGATATAAAAACCTAAACATTTGATGTCATTACAAAGTGATTTTTATAATTAGAATAAAAACTCTTCAGTGAATTGCTTTATTTGATGATTTAGTTTGTTTTATTTCTAACAAATACATCTTATTCCTATTATATTGATCACTGAGCTTTGTTGTAAAGTATTACTTTTATTTAATATTTAAACATTTTCTTTTAATTGCAGTTAGACAAAAATGGTATTTTTTTCATATAGTTTTAACAAAAGTATTTTAAAATCTATGAACTAGTTAATGGACAATATTGTAATAAGCTGAAGTGTTAAATTTCAAAGTTTAACATTTAGCAAAAGTTTGTTTTACAAACTCACTTTTTAGAATAACAAGAAATATATATAGCTTAAGAGTCTGTATTTAGACAAATGCCCTTTGTTTTTCCTCAAAATAAAAGCTTTGAAAAGTGCAGTATAAAAGTTTAGCGGTGAAGGCACTGCATAACTTGCATCATATGGCTATCTTGCTTAGCAGCAAGAGTCAAATGGAAATATTCTACCCTTCATGGAGCAAAAGAAACTTTGTGGAAGTACTATCTCATCAAAGAAAAGCCTTTTGATTCATGTATATTTGGTGAATTCCTTTCCAAGACTCCTTTTCAAAAAATGTTATCTAGAAAAGCTGTCTGAAATATGTCGATTATAAATATGCCTGGATATTACCATCTTGATGAGTATCAGAGGATATGGGGGGAAGGATATTGTAGGTGTGAAAGTGAGACGATTTCCAAAACAGTAACCCACCTATGCGGATAAACTATACCTTTCTAAATCACTGTTTCTATAGCAATAGTGCCAACCACAGACAATTCATAAAAGTTCATAGAATTTTTATAAGCCTGATAAGTAGATTTGAGCTGTTATAATCTTTTAAACTTTAGAGAACGACTGTATTTGCTCTTACTATGCGGAAATCAATCTAAACAATAATGATTTATAATCACAGATTGTAACACCTTAGACTTTCAGAAACATAATAGTCAGAGGGCCTTCCAACAGCTATCGGCATTTGTTTTACAGAAACCAACTCAAATGCTACCTAGTGCGACATGAGTCATTACAAGAGGATTTGGGTAGCCTGTAAAAACTGAATCTAAGACAGGTGTGGTGGCACACTAACTTGCATCATATGGCTATCTTGCTTAGCAGCAAGGGTCAAATGGAAATATTTTACCCTTCATGAAGCAAAAGAAACTTTGTGGAAGTACTATCTCAAAGAAAAGGCTTTTGATTCATGTATATTTGGTGAATTCCTTTCCAAGACTGCTTTTCAAAAAATATGTTATCTAGAAAAGCTGTCTAAGATATGTCAATTATAAATATGCCTGGATATTACCATCTTGATGAGTGTCAGAGGATATGGAGGGAAGGGTATTGTAGGTGTGAAAGTAAGATGATTTCCAAAACAGTAACCCACCTATGCAGATAAACTATACCTTTCTAAATTACTGTTTCTATAGCAATAGTGCCAACCACAGACAATTCATAAAAGTCCATAGACTTTTTATAAGCCTGGTAAGTAAATTTGAGCCATTATAATCTTTTAAACTTTAGAGAACGACTATATTTGCTCTTACTATGCGGAAATCAATCTGGACAATAATGATTTATAATCACAGGTTCTAACACCTTAGACTTTCGGAAACATAACAGTCAGAGGGCCTTCCAACAGCTATAGGCATTTGTTTTACAGCAAACAACTCAAATGCTACCTAGTGCGACATGAGTCGCTACAAGAGGCTTTGGGTAGCCTGTAAAAACTGAATCTAAAATTCTTGGTAACACTCAACTGATTCAAATTCCCCTTTTAAAGACACTTTTTTCATTGATGAATAGGTGTTTGCTCCTTAAATTAAAACTACACTAAATGTCTTCCCAGGAAAAGTATTTTAGTTGAAGTAAACTGTTCTTTCAAAGGCCAGTAAAATATTACTGGTCCAAGAGGCTAAAACACTTTCACATCTTGATCTAATGATTCTTATTTTTCTTTTTATAAGCGCTTAGTTACATATAAAGGAGAAGAAAATAATATATATGCTTTAATCAGATTAGTTTCAAGAACAAATAAAATAACACATTAGAGAAAAAATTACTTAAAAATAGTTGTATTTATATTCCACAATTTGCTCAAATATTGGTTTCCTTATAAATTTTCTACAGGATGTTTTTAAACAAATTCTTCACATTGTGTCCTATGTACTTACGGAATTTCAGGGAAATAGTTCTGTTTTTAATAGCTTAATTTGTACTAATGGGATGGCGGGTGGTCACATGCAGTCCATGTGGGATTCTAACATTACATTGAGTGAGTTTTCTGACGTGGACCATCCCTTTGACGCTGAAGGTAATGCATCTGTTGAAAGAAGAGACTGTAGATTTGGATTACTGCTCTCTGCATCTTCCAGTTTTTCTGTGTTATCTTCCCAATTAATATGGAATCTTGTAACTCTGGGATTAGATGCCAAAATGTTCCTTTGAAGCTAGAGAAAGAAACATTTAAATGGTAAGCACTAAGACAGTTTGAAGCTTAACAAAATGGCTCTTTATGTTAATGCTCCCAAAGGGCTAAGTTTGCATATTAAGGTATAAGTGAGTAAAACAAGCATTTCAGACATACCCAGTAAACAAGGACTAAAGTCACAGCAAAGAAATGTCAAGTTTTTATATTTTTGTTTCCTAAAAGGTAAGGGAGGGAAAAGGGTGTCTTTTTGTACATCCTATAGAGGGTGTCAGCTTGATTTATTTTCAGACTGGAGAAGCTAGCGTGCATGAGGCCAGGACACCAAAAAGTTAAAGATGTGCTTCCATGAAAAAATGAACTTCATATAGAGCTTCTAATTAGTGGACCCTAGTTTTTAATATTAAGGCTCATTTCTTAGCTCAGATTCTAGCTTCCTCTGGTGCCACAAGGTTCTATACAGGTAATGCTGAATTAATAGAAAGCCTCAGAAAAGCATCCCATCTTTATCAAGAACTTTCTAATCTATGGCAAGTTTTAGCAGAGTGCCATATTCAACTCAGTCACAAAAATCGCCATTAACTAAACTGTTATTAACAATGATTCCCAATGGAAAAATCTAAGATACTAAGTATTTTTTAGACCACTGAAAGAGATTTTAGTGTCTCAGAATTTAACCTGTTTTTCATCATCAGAAATATTTAAGAACTTTAACCTCTAAGAATAGGAGACAGGATAAAACATACAGTATTCTAAGTGTCATATAAAACAGCACAGGCCAGACATGAAGACAATTTATAATCTCGGCACTTGAGAGTCTGAGAAAGGAAGACTGCCACAGTTCAAGACCCTTTCTCTAAGACGCCACAAAATAACAAGGATCCCCCCGACACACACTAATCTATTATGATTTAGGGAAGATTAACAGGCAAAAATATTAACAACTCTACTCCCAAAGAACTTACATGCCCTAAAAGTTGGAATGAAACACCTAATGATTGTGTGGCGAATACTATACAGAGCCATAAACAAAGGTCTGTTTTTTGCAGAAAGTACATACATTTTTCTACATCATCAGGGACTCAGGTATTTGCCAAACAATTCCTGAAAGGCAGGGAGGGTTGAGATCATCTATGCAAATGGAACAGCAACTAGTTTGTCCAGGTGGTACAGAACTTTAAATTTGTATTTTAAGGCCATAGAGTGTGATAAAACTGAATAGTACAAGTAATTTAAAAAGGGGCTGGAGAAATGGTTCAGAGGTTGAAAGCACTCACTCTTACAGAGACCCGAGTTCAGTTCCTAGCACCACACCAATTGGCTCACAACCTCCTGTAACTCCAGCTTCAGGGGATCTGATGCCCTCTTGTTGCCTCCACAGGCAACACCATACATGTAGCATACGTATATATGTTACTCCTCTGAAAAGGAGGATTAATATGTAAACACATGCACACATAAACAAAAATTAAAGCCTTTTTTAAAAAAAGCTAAGGGGCTAGAGAGATGGCTCAGAGCACTGGCTGCTCTTGCAGAGGATCCAAGTTCAGTTCCCAGGACCCACATGATGGCTAACAACTGTTGGTAACTCCAGTTCCAGGGAATCCAACACCCTCTTCTAGCCTCTGTGGGCACTGCAAGACATAGGTACACTTACATACATGCAGGCAAAACACTCATACACATAAAAATAAATAAATAAATAAATATAGTAATTTAAAAGAACAGTAACAGCATTACCTTAGAAAAGTCTGGCTTTACTGGTGGATTTTCCCTTAATTCTGTTTCAGTATATTCATTATTTACATAATAGCCAACTCTAATAAATTCTTGACCCCGATAGGTGCAAGTAATTAGCACAACTGTTACACCTACAGCATCTGCATCTGGAATGAGTCCTGGATTAGGTGCATCAGCCTAGAATAATTTAAAAAGAAACATACAAAAAAGGCTGTTAAGAACAGTTAAGAGTTTCAGTTACCTTAGCACTACCTGAAATCACACCAGCAGGGAAAATGCTTTTTATCTACGTATTTCATTTTGGCTTTCAAAGGCAGAGTCTTGCTATGCAATGCTGGCTGGCCTGTTATTCACTGTTCAGCCCAGGCTGACCTCAAACATATGGCAGTCCTCTTGCCCTGCTCCGGAATGCTAGGATTAGAAGCAAACACCACTATATCCAGCAAATGTTCTTTTGGGCTTGTAACTAGAAAATATGGTTCATGTTTCTCTGTATTAGTTCTAAGTAACCTTGGTACCTGCATGCATCATTACAGTTTAAGGGAAATAATTCTTGTTTTACTGTATGGTGGTTAATGCAATTATAAAATATGCATTATAAAACCTATTGTATAAAAGATTTAAACAATCAAATCAATCATTGTAGTGATCCTAATCTTTTCCAGTCCTAAGTTACTAAGTACTAAATTAGTTCCACAAAGCCTATTAGCAGTAAATGTTTATTACTTTGGTCTCCCAAGACACTAGGTTCTTATACCTAGCTAACCATCTCTTGTAAATAATAGTAAATTATATAAAACTGAAAAAAGGGGCTAGGTATCCAACTCAATGATAGAACCTTTGCCTATTATCTGCAAGGCCCCAGGTTCAATTTCTAGTACCACTAAGTAAATAATGAATAAAACAGACCATGGAACTTGAAACTATGTAGGAGTTTGAAGAAACAATAACCATGGTTTGTATAGTCACATTGTACTAGCCACATTTGAGCCATAGTGAAGGCAAAGATTGTTTTTAGGCAGATGATACCAAAGACTTTGCTTTGAATCATGTTGAACCTCAAGGAATGGAGAAGGTGAAACAACAGAGCTAGAAGAGACCAAGAAAGTAAGAAAAGACTAGGGCCATGTTCACAGCAATGACCAGGACAGCTAAGAGACTGACTGGTTGGAAGGAACATATATACATACATAGACAGTGCCAGCTGAGGTATCTAAGGTCAATCTGAAGCAGCCATTCTGTGCAATAAGCAAATGAAATCCTAGCAAATTAGTTCAGTTCCCAGGCCACCAAGGAGCATCCTTTGCATATATGAGCACTTCAGGTAATACCTTAGTTTGGAAGCTTTGGTGTTTATTGTACATATACCACATTGAGATGATACCAAAAGGCATACAAACTCATGCAGACTGAAAATCTCTGTCACCTTCAGCTTCTCTAACTCTCTTATCTAGTCATCTCAACATTTCTCATCTAAAGGCCCAGTTTGTCTTTATTTCTTATCTAAAATACTGCTTGCTAAAACTTTCTAACTTACATCCTCAGCTCTAACCTATTGTTTATATTGCTGCCACTTAAACATGTATCTGTTCCTATCTCTGCTTGGTTTTAAAATCTCAGGTGAGATCTTTTTAAAAATGTTCTAATTTCATTTATAGGGCTCTTCAAAATGTCTCCAATGAACATCTCTGTGCACATCTCCTTTAACATCTATACTTCTCATCTGTGTGTGTGTATGTGTATGTGTGTGTACGTGAATAACACAAGTCTTTAGACACATTGATAATCTTTCATGCTTTTGTGCCTCAGTGTCCCTTGGTTGTAAAGTTCTTTCTCTCAAATCCCTAAAACTCATCTTTTGATGTCCTTATCAAACTTAACCTTTCAAAACAAAGCCCTCTCTGAAGGTAGCAGCTTCTTTTATGTTTATGTTGCTTGAGACAAGTCATCAAGTAATAGATGCCCAACAACACAGGTGCAGCTATGAGAATTTGTTTTCAAATTTATTACTCAGTTCCTGTCCTGAAGGGGTTTATGATCTCATTGGCTAGACACTAAGATGGGAACAGAGGGCCTCTCCTGTACAATATCCCATTTGTCTTATGCATCTCCTTCCCAGGAGTGTCCAAAATGATTCTTAAAAGTGGAGACAGGAAACCAGAGTTCAATAATGCTATTTCCCACCACTCAGCAAATTCATTCTAGTCACATTAAAAAAAAATAACAATTGTCAAAGGATTTTGCTTGAGCAAATTTGAATGGACAATGTGCAAGCATCTTAAGTCATTTAGGATAGAAAAGTGATTTGACCCAATCCACAGCACTGGGCAGATGTCTGGATATGCCGCTGCTAGTAGTAGGCCTACTCATTGAAAAGGCATGTTTAAGCCAAGCATGGTGGTGCATGCCTTTAATCCCAGTACTCGGAGGTAGAGGCAGACAGATCTTTGTGTGTTCAAGGCTAGCCTAGTCTACATAGTGAATTCCAGGCCAGCTGGGGCTACAGGGAGTCCCTGCTTCAAAACAAAACAAAACAAAAAGAGGAAAGCATAAGGAAATAAAACAAACAAAAAACACCCCAAATTTAGTGGGCTAGAGCATCTAAGAAGGAAAAAGGAAAGGCATGTTTAATTATTCTGGAGCAAAATCCTGGCAGACCAGGGAAATACAACAGTTTGTTTAAAACACAAAACAATAACTGCACCTTAGTTTCTTTTTGATAATTGGAGAACTTTGAAAAAAATGCATAGGCTAACATATGACCTAAATCACACTGTTTTCTGTTCTTTTTTTGTTTTTTGCAACATTTACACTGATAACAACAAAAACTATTTAACATTTTGAGTTTTTTCCTACAGTACCCCAAGCCAAAAGGTAGAGGTATTTGTCACAACATAAGCACAAAAATTTCTCGGGTTTATTTCAAAACCAACACAAATACTTACAAGTTTTGGACAGTAGTACAAAGCGTATATATGACTATACATTAACCCAAGTTTCTTTCACTACATCATGAATTATCAGTAAAGTATACACTCCCCAGGCTTGTGGGTCAAAGCAAATCTAGATGAAAGTAGATTTGTTGGTAATTTACTGCTTTATTCCTTTTAACTTTTATAAATGAATGGAGTGATTACAGAGATGGGAAGCTTGTCTAAAGTCACATGTCTAATAAGCAGAGGCATCCAGTGTATTTCTGATTGCAGTGCTTCCTTAGGCACTGTGTTACTGTAGCTTTTCACAAGGTTATGCACACACACACACAACTCAGGTTAATGACACTTTAAAGTATATGAGCCTTTAACTTGTAGTTGAGCCTTTCTTTGCCATTTGTTTTACATACACTAAATTATTTGAGAGTTTCTCAATAAAAAAGCCCAAACACTGATTCAGAAGATGGAAAAAGCAGCATCCCTAGCTGTGTGCTCCTAAGCAACTCGTCACCCACTTCTGATGGGACTGTATCAAAGACAGTATTCATTAAATTAGTCCTGTCTATGTAATGAGAAGTAGAGGTTGGGGTAGAAGAGTTAGAGTTTCTCTCTAGATTATGCCTTCATTGAGACTTTACTGGGTAGAAATACTTCTAACAAAAATGAATAATTTAAAAAAATACTAACTATAGTCTTAACAGTATTATAAATATCTCCCTCTAAGAAGCATGGATAACTGAAAAACCACTAGCTTTACACAGTGGTTTTTAATTTAACAAACTAGAAGAATGAACACTTTTGTATACAGAGACAATGTCTAAAAGCTTTGGCACAGACCCAAATACTGTCATCATTGTCTGAGGACATAATTTGCATTAATAGAATTTCTACTCACAGATAACTAAAGGGGTAATGGATTTATCACAGTGGTCCTCTATAAGGTACTATATAATGCTTTAGGAAACCACCAGACTTTAATCCATGATTCAAATCACGTATCTTTATTTGCTAACGTACATGTTAGCCTTCCAGTTACTGATTGATTATGCTGAAATAAAGTTGTTGCTGTTGTATCCATGCTTTGGGCTACTGCCACATTGAAAGGCTGTTCCACAGGTAGAGCTCAAAAGCAGCTATGTGTGACATGATGCAGTTTAAAGTTTACTGCATCCTGTACATTTTCCTAAAATAAGCATATTAAGATCTCTGCACAGAGAACCAAGTTCAGTTCCTTTATGACAAACACTGCCTGAAACATGATAGAAGCACATTAATGACTTAACACAAAAAGGATAAGAACCGTGAGATCATACATCCTGCTTAGAAACATACTTGGCACACACATTTACCAAGATTAGTCTTACCTGAAATACAAACATATGCCTTCCTGCAGGAACAGGGCCCACTAAAACAGAGTCTAAAACTTGATCATACTCTTCACTTTCTGCAGAGCCCACATAGATAATTTTCCATTCCAAGTCTAGGATTAAAAAAACAAATTACTTCAAATCAGCAATTATGTTAACAGATGATAAAGTTCCCTTTGTTGTCCAGTTAACTGCTAAATGGCTTCTCATCCCAAAAAATATGAAGCCCTGGACCCTGGACAGTGCTCCTCACAAATAAAAATGTGACCAAAAATTGGGGAAATGCTAACAACTTAAGTACTCATACAGCATGACAGCACAGGAAGTATTCCAAGAATTCCTTTAGTAAAGAACACCTTCCAGTTAAACCAGCATTTTCCATTCTGATTTATTTGGCTGTGCAATCTCCCAGTCCCTTTCTGTGTGCCATTTTTTATCTCAACACTGTGGAAAGGCTGCCCTGTGAACCATAAATCATCACAGAATCCAAAGTGGGAAAAATCATTAGCAAAGCTCTTTTATGGCCCGTAAGTAAAGGGCTTGTACTCATTACACTGAGACTACACTAAGCTCTCCAACAGTTTGAGTTTCTGGTTTACTTGTGGAGGATGTTAACATTTTCATGTAATTATGCAGATATTTTATTTCCTAAATTTGTAAATTGGTACTACTACTTATTCATACTATATTATAAACTGAAAATTTTTGAACTGCAAGTTCCTTGAGAGTTGTACTTTTTGAAGTTAGCTGTAATTTTTGAGGACCTATCAAATCAAGATTCCATCCTAGATAAGGCCACTTGTATTTTCAGCTTTTAGTACATTTCCAGATTCAGGACCCTGCATCTGACATGTAACAAGATCACTTGCTGATGGAGCTAGGATGAGGCAACATGATTGTCTGGTCAGAAAGAAGAGCAAATATAAGGATACAAAGATAAGAACCTTCTTGGTGTGGTCAAGAAAAAGCAAGGAGGGTGGAACTTTGGAACAGAGTAGAAAAGAAAAGTTACCCAACCCTAAGATTGGGATGGAAAGCAGCATAGCCAGATCATGCAAGGTTTTGATGCCCATCATAAGGACTTTGGCTTTTACATGGGAAACCATGTAAGTTGTTTTGTTGTGGTAGAGATCAAACCCAGAGCCTTGCCAATGCTAGGCAATCCTCTATCACTATACTACAACCCTAGCACCTAAAGGTTTTGAACCTCTAAGTGACAGGATCTACCTTTCATCTTAAAGGATCATTAAAAAAAAAAGAATATATATATATATTATTTTATGGGTATGAGTGTATTGCCTGCATGTAGGTCAGTGTACCCACATCATGCAATGCCTGACAAGGTCAGAGACAGCATCAGATCCCCTGGAACTGGAGTTTTGGACAGTTGTTAGCGGCCATGTGGGTGCTGAGAATTGAACTTGGGTCGTCTTCATGACCGACCAGTGCTCTTAACCACTGAGCTCTCTCTCCAGCCCCCTTAAAGGATCATTTTAACTGCTCTGTTTTGTGTTGATTGAATGAGGAAGCTGTTTCAATCAGAGAGCAGAAATTATGGTGGCTTGAATCTGGTGTGGCTGTGAAGGTATAGGATTTACATCTTGGATAAATTGTGGAGATGGAAGCAACAGTAGCCATTTTTTAAAGGAATATATAAAGACAAGGAAACCAAAGGGGTTCCTAGGAGTGAGTGTTAGGTCTCTCCAAAGTTGACAGATCAAGAAGATAATGAATCAATAAAGTAGATTAGGAAACTAGTAGCCAATGAAGGAGGTGTTCTAAAAGCCAACTTAAGAAACTTAAAGTGAAAAGGATATGAAAGCTACTAAATTAGCTAAGGTAAAATAAGCCTTGTCACTTTACACAAGTTACTTCTCATACAGATGTAATAATGTAAACATACATAGTATATA